AGGGGGAGCTGGATGTGAAGCAAGGGTGTGAGTGAGACCTCAGGGCTCATGTAGCTCCTGGGGACCCTGGTGATGGCAAGTCACACACTCTGAGGACACTGCTTCCCTGAGTGGGCAAGATTCAGAAAAGAATTTTCCTACTTGTCTCGTCCCAGAACTGAGTCCTCCCAGGTCTAAGCAACCGCGCCCCCAGCTGTCTTCACAGCCCACATGCTCCAGGCCTCCTGAACCTCACAGCTCTCCTGCAAGGGGCAGGGGGTGATGACTTTTGCACTTGGATGTTATCTGGTGTCAGTGACTAAGGAAGTCCCTTGAGTAGGTCCTGGCAGCATGGTGCAAACTGAGACACTGATTTTCTGCATCACTAATGACCTCTGAAGAGTTAAATACAGGATGTGGAGCACAGAGCTTGTTACTAGATATTTCAGGGCCACCTGGGAACACCTGTGCAGTGCTCATTCTTACAGGTAAACTTGTGTCCCTGCTGTTGCTGTGGGGAGGGTCTCCTGTTGGTCCCCAGCCCTCACCGCAGAGCCTGGAGCTTGGATCCCTCTGTGTTCACGAGACGCATCGTTGTCTGGGACCGTGTGTTCTGCTGTTCCTCACTGCTCTAGGTCCCCATTGTCCCTCCTTTGTCAGCCTGGTGATCTCTTATTTTCTTGTGACTGTCTAGTACATTTGAGACATTAGAATCTGAACAATTGTTTCCTCAGTGAAAGGTTAATAAAAAAAAAAAACAGAGAATCAAGTTTCTGTCAGGTGATGGGTTTGAGTTTAAAGGATCCATGCCCAAATGACTGACATTTATCCCACATTCTTTATCCAAACTACTGGAGAGGGAAACACATTGGAAGTCCTGAGGCTGAGCTGGGACAGTGAGCCCTCGGCGGTTTGAGAGTCTCTCCTTAATGGGAGGCTTTGCCCAGCCCCAGGGATGCAGGGGCCCCGCAGAGCTTTGATCTCAGGGCACAGGGAGACCCAGGTTCTGTAAGGTCTCAGAGCTCAGGGAGCTATCAGGGGAGCCCAGGCTGGCACCAGGAGACACACAGGGCCCTGGGCACGGGCCACCTGGTTCTCTCAGTCACACATGATGCACTTCTGTCCTCCTTCCCTCCCAGCCACTGAGTCATAATTTTGCTTTTTCTAAGAACAGAATTATGTTTGTGTTGGAGACAAGGGACCCAAAAGCAGATATTTCCATTTACTTTCTAAGGGAAGACTAAGTTGAGGGCCAGCCCTCCAGCTTGAGTAGGAGAAGGGACAGCACAAGCCCATAACTGAGCTGGTGTTGGTTCAGGGGCAGGGACAGGGCAGTGATGGGTCAGACAGGAGAGGAGGGGGCAGATTTACTCACGTGTCCCCATGGAGCAGGAGCTTTCTGTGGCATTGGGGTTGTGTCCATCTCTCTAAGGATGAGCTTCAGCCTGAGCCTCAGACTGGAGCCCAGAGGTGATCACACAGGTTCTGGTGACAGACCTGGGTCAGGACAATCAAGCTGAATCCCCTGGAAGGTGCTTCTGTGCTGTGTCAGGAAGGGAAGCTGGGCCTCTGCCTGGGGGGCCTGGGAACAATTGCCATGGCACCTCCAGTGGCTCTGGAACTTCCTGTGCAAGAAAAGGTGACCTCGGCTCTGGAGTCCTTGAGAACATCACAGGGGGTGTGACACAGGAAGAGGTTGGGAAGCACCGGATCCTGCTGCCTCCCCACCGAACCCCGACCCTGGACTGGTGGAGAGCTATAGGAGGGTGTGGGAGGGCTGGGGGCACAGTCAGTTCCTACAGAGTCTGGGATCCACTCCCTGGAGTCCCAGTGGTCCTGAGCGGTGTCAACTTTCTGAGTGTGTCATCCATGGACCCACTTTACCCTGGAGCAGGCTCGGCAATTCCCCAGGAAATGTAGACCACCCCCATCCTCTCCTGTCCGATTAAGATGTCTCCTGGTCTCAGGCCCCAAACTTCCCCTTACACCAACCATCCTGTCTATCACCTCAAACCTGAAGGTCCAGGTACCCACTCAGGAGTCTGGGCCACTCTGTGCCCGGAGTTCCTACCGCACCTATGTCCTCATCTGGCATCTCACTACCCTGTATTGCATCCCTGGGGCCAAGGGTGCTCAGGCAGCCTTGAATTCAGGGACTGGGAGGGAGGGACGGGGTCTGCTTTGATCCCCTGATTCGGTCTCCCGACATCAAGCCAACTCCTTATGCCTCTCCTCCCTCAGAGGCAGGTCACATGGACATGGAGCAGTGTTTTCCCAGGGCTGTAACGTATTTTATTATTTTCTTACAGTTCCTGCTTCTTTGCTGAGATTTCCTACCTGTTCTTTCATTGCATGTGTATGTCACTCATATTCTCGCTGAGAATGTATAAATGTGTATGGGGATGGTTGATATTCGGTGTCTGACCATAAAGTAGATGTGTGTTCATTTATTTAGATCTTCTTCATGTATAACAGGTATTAGTTGTACCTCTCATTTTTAGAAAACTTTTAGTTTTTTAGTTTTATTTTTAAGTGTTTCTTATTTCTGATGCTATTATAATATTTAAAAATTTTCTTGTTAATTTACAAGTTTTCTTGTTAATTATTGATGGTTTATTCCTTCTGTGTACATTGGTATTCAGTTCTGCATGTTGTTTTTGTATCTCAAAGCCCCAATTAAAGCATTTAGGGAGGAAACATCACTGAGTCTCCCCCGGACTCAGAGCCAGTCCGGCCGGTCCTAACCAGTGTCCGCACCTCCAGCATCTCCCCTGGGAGACGGTTCTCCTGGAAAGGACTCTCTGCTTCTGAGACAGGAACAGCTGAGACATGGTGGTGATGATGAGTCTAAAAGAGAGATGAGGGGAAGGCCAGATTGCTGTTTACAGGAAATTCAAGTCCTGTCTGCAGAAGTGACAACAGATGTCACCTGTGAGGGAAACATGATCCCAGGCCAAGCAGGGGTGAGGTTCCCTGGCAGGGGGAGCACAGGTGCCTTCAGTCTCACCAATCTGTGACTCTCAGCAGGGTGTGAGCATCAGGGCTGCTGTAATGGACACAACAGCAAGGCCAGCCTCGTCCTCGGGCTACAGCCTGGAGATGAGAAGGGGCCCTGCACTGGTCGAGGTGTCTTTGGATCTAGAGAAGCACCTGCAGAGGCAGGAGCCCTGGTGCTTGTCTGAATCTGGGTGCTTGGACACAAGATGCTGGGAAGGGCTCCCCGACTTCTGCTGGTAGCAGTCTGTGGTAGCCGCCAACATTAAATCCACTTCTCAGTGTGCATGGGAGTCTCACTGATGTTTCTCGGGATGCAGAGAGGGAGGGGCTGAGCCACCACAGGCTGGGAGAGGGCGCACAGAAAGAGAGACACTCATGGTTGATGCAGCAGGTACTCAGGTTAAAGTTCCTCAAGGCTCTGTTCAAATGGAGGAAGATCCAAGCTAAATGGCTGTCTTGGACCCAGGTCCTGTCCCTACCTGTGCAGTGAGAGAGAAGCACGAGGAGGAGAGGAGTCCAGGCCATGGTGCACACAGCCCCTGAGCCCACAGTGGGGCTGAGTTGCCCAGGCCTCCTTTTCTCCCCACCCTCTGCCAGGGGAGGGACTGCCCATGCAAATGTGTGTCCATCCAGGGGCTGCCCAGCTTCTCCCTGAGCCCTGGTGCTGGAGCTCAGTTTAGGCTACAACTGAGGAAGATGGGGGTTGGCTTTATTCCTGGGGAGAGCCCAGGGAGGAAGCACTTGTTGAGGCCACACAAAGATACCAGCTCAGGGGACTCTGCAAGGCCTGAGATGGCACAGCTCCTGAGTCTCCATCACTGAGCACAGTGCTCAGCCCCCAGGCCCAGATTCCTTCCAGAGAATGATCCTCACTGAGCAACTGTTTACAGGCTCCGGGACAGTCCACCAGTGCCCCCTGCTGGTCATAACCCAAAGCCCTGAGAGCCCAGCTGGTATCTGCAGCTCACCAGGTGGCTGTCTCTACCCACACATCCAGGGTCTCATGTGTAGATACTGTTGATCAATCATGGGGTGTGTGAACCTTACTGCTTTTCACTGCCAGAAAGAGTTCTGGTCTACAGCAAGTGAAAACATGCACATATAAGTATTTCAGATGTCAGCATCCCCAGAATACACAGTAGGAAAATTAACTCCTGTGTTCCATGATGTCCAGTATTCAGAAATAATTTTACAATAATAGAAGTGGAGGTATATTTCAGTCTTTAGCCCTCCCGAAACACTTTCCAGGGAGCTTGTGAAAAGACAGATTTTTCTCATGAACACACAGATTTCACCCAGCAGGCCTAGTCAGGGAAACAGCATCACCTGCAAGCTCCCAGTGACACTCTCATTTAAATGCTAATAAAATATTCCCATGGTCCACAGGCTGAAGTCAATACATGAGAGCATAACTTCTTAAAGTTCCTGGGATACAGGCAGGTGTTAGGTTTAAATCACTGAAGAAACCAGGTAGATGCAGTGAGCTAAGGAGCAGGGTCTATCAGCAGGGAATAGGAGGGGAAGTGGAGCCAGGGAGGTTGGGACTCGCTCCATTCTTCTTAGGGCAGGGTTTTTAGGCACAAAAACCCATGAAGGGTTGCTGGTTTGGGTGTCAGCATCTGATTGGCTAGAGCTGGTTGCTGGGTGCTCTTTCTGCTGACCATTGTTCTTAATACATCTTGTCAGGCTGAAGTTAAAGCTACATCATGTTATGGCAGATAGGATGACCCTAGACCCCAATCCTAGCCAGGCATCTGTGTGTCCTGGGTAGGGTCTGCAGGCAGTTTCCCACAGTGATTTTCCATTCCTTCTGGGCCAGCCTAGAATTGTGAACAGGTTGACAAGGGGCAGTGGGGGATCTGAGTCTCTCTGATGGTTAACAGGGTCACATGGGAGAGATGGGTACACCCTGGGGGAACCTGGACTAGGCACATGGAGAGGACCCACTGGACACGGGAATGGGGCCCTGGAGCCCCTCCCCTTGGTGTGCTGACCATTTCCACCCTCTCTCTTTCCTTCTGTCACTAAAGCTGCAGCATTCTGAACACATGAGGACGTTTAGGTTGCACTTCCCCATGGGTACACATCACTGTGTAAGCATAGCTACCCATGAACAGACTACAGTAATAGTTGGCCTCATCTTCAGGCTGGGCCCCCGTGATGGTGAGGACGGCTTTGTTCCCAGAGATGGATCCAGAGAAGCGCTCAGGGAACCCAGAGGGCCGGCTGTTTGTGTTGTAGATGAGCGTGTGGGGAGCCTTGCCTGGGGTCTGCTGGTACCAGCTGGGGTAGTTACCACTAGAGACTGACCCAGAACTAAGGCCACAGGTGAGTGTGACTGTCCCTCCTGGAGAAACGGACAGTGATGCTTCCTGGGTGACCACAGTCTGAGAATCCACACCTAAAACCAACAGGAAAGATATGGGTGTTGTTATGGGTGACTAGGTCACCTGAGACCATGCTTTGCTGTGTCCCCCAAGAATGCAGACTCCCTTCCTCTGACCTGAGCTGTAAGTGAGGAGCCCGAGCAGGAGCACCGTCCAGGCCATGGTGGCGACACTCACAGGACACGACCTCCTCAGGGTCCTGGGCTGGAGGGTGCTGTCCTTGGGGCCTTTTCATGCCTCCCAGACCCACTAGGAGGAGCATGTGCTTCATGCAAATCAGTTCCCTCTGTCTTGTCCTGACACAGTGTCACCCTGATATCCCCTGGGGAGATCTGGAAAGAGGCAGGTGCTGCTGCCTCCCAACACCAATGACTGCACAGTGACTAAGGCCCTGAATGTGCAGTGTTGACCTCTGTCACCAAATCAGTTCCCCCACATCCCTGGTGGCCTTAGTGGTAAATGTCTCTGTGAATCGTCTGTGGCCTCCATGATGAGGTGACTGTGTTTCCCTCTGGCCCCAGCGATCTATCTCATCACAAATCCCACTCTGTCCCTCAGAGTAGAACATTTTGTTCCTTCTTCAGTGAAAACCATTCTTGTCTTATTTGAAGGAGGTAGTAGACACTGCCTCCTCCTACAGGGAGTCCTCAGGGAAACCAGAGTTTGTGTGTGGGGAGTGAAGCAACAGGGTCTCCCCTCACTCAGCTCTGACCCAGCAGCCTCAGTGAAGGAGCCGACCAAGGCTGAGTGTGGACACAGTGTCACTACAGACCATTGAAATGAACGAGAAAGGACAGACTAGGAAGAAATAACCACTGAAAGGATGACAGAAAAATGTGAAAGCATTTATTACCAATTTCTTTAAGAATATATTTGCAAGTGTAGCAGCAAATGACCACTTTGATTTGCTAGAAAGAAAACATTAATTTAGGTGACATCATCTCTCTCTCTCTCTGGCAGGGACAGCACTGTGTAATCCAGGACCAGAGGCAGGGCTAGAAGGTGGCAGAATTAATGGGACAACCCACCAGCTGCGCCCGGATGGCAGCAGGAAAAGGCAGTGACAGTGCCTCCCCCCACGTATCCTCTCAGGGTCCCCGGGAGTAAATCCTTCTGCAGTGAGTGAGGATGTGACAGAAGGATGCAGGCCATGGTGGGGAAGCCCCAGAGCTCTGCTGTCTGAGGCCTAGTTGTTGACATTGAGACTGTCCCTGACTAGGTGTCTCCTACCCTATGCCCAGGGACAACCATAGGGCACGTTTTTTTTTTTTCCAAGGACATTTATTTTCATTGTGTGATTGTCCATCTCCCTTGTCCTGTGAATCGGGTCTGGACAATGACTACATGATGGGAGGAGGGCAAGATATGAGGCATGTGTGTGAGTCAGAGCTGAGTGGTCATGTGACTCCTGGGGACCAGCTGCAGGACAGTCACACTTCACTGAGGACACTGCCTGCCCAAGTGTGCAAGGGCCAGTAGAGTCTTTTCACAGCCTTCCTGGCCCAGAGCCCTGACTCTCAGGTCCAGTCCACCAGCTCCCCCTGCTGGTCTGAGAAGGCACATCCTCCAGCTCATCTCACACCCCCAGCTCTCCTGGGAGGGCTCTGCTGTTTGCAGTTGGGTCTTTCTGATGTCACCACCCAGGGCAGTGGAATGAACAGGTCCCCTCTGTGACTCTGGGATGAGTCATTAATTTTTTCAGGTCTCTAGTGACCTCCATACAGCTACATGAAATGCTGTGTTCCCAGATGGTGAAGGATGACAGGATAGTTGAGTTTCCTTCTGTCAGGCCCCTGGGTCTGTTGCTGGTACATGACCACTCTGAGTTACTTTTGAGGTTTAAAGTTCCTCAGGGAGCCCCGTTAGTGCATAGCTGGCCACAGTTCCATTTGGGTGATTCCTTCAGGTTGAAACCAGCGGTGTTGTTTTTGCTGTTGTTGTCATTGTGAGGGTTTCCTGTTGGGTCCCCAGCCCCAGGGACAGGCCTTGGCTTTCTCTTCCTGTCTTTGCCGTGAGAACGCAGCCCTGGGAGGAGCTCACGCCTTGTGTTCGTGGTTGCCCCTGCTGGTTCTCACTTACCCTTGCCTGTGATGCCAAAAATACTTCTGATTTTTCAAGAATTTAAGAAAATTTTGCATAATTTTATAAATATTGTCAACACAAAGATTGATGAAAAAATATAATTCTTGTGTTGACATTATTATAAAAGGCAGTCCACCCCTTTTTAGAGGTCCTTTCTTCAATACGGGATTTAGAAATCTATTTTCATCATCTCCAGTCTCCATTAGCCCTGATCTAGTTACTGCCGACATTATTTTGTATTGATTTCTTGTGCACAGCAGAGTGGTTAGACAATCAGATCCTTTACAAAGTGTTTCTCGAGATGTTCCCAATCCCCACAGGGCCACACCCCCACTGGGGCAGCATCACTGACCACACTCCCCACGCTGTGCTTCACATCCCTGTGATGCTCTGTTCTTAGGGTTCCTCATGGGTGTGGTCCCCACACGTGTCTCCTTCCTCTCTGAACCCCCGGCTACTCTGCTCTCTCTTGCAGACACATTGCTTTTGGTGCAACAGGGATACGGGTGAGTGAGTGAGTGAGGAGCAGGATGCACCATGCTGATTTCTTCAAACCAGATGAGGGCATTTCAGGACCGTGTCTCAGGGTCTGGAGGGAATGTGGCCTCCTGAAGCCATGTGACCAGCAGAGAACCCACCCCCTGGAACCCTGCCCTGGGAGGAGGCAGTGGGGGTGACAGGGGATGTGGATGTAGGTAACAGGGACTGGACGCCCTTCCCTGCACAGACACAGAATGGTGAGTTTGCACTGCTCTCGAGTTTTTCCATCGGCCCTTATTTCCCTGCCCCCAGAGAAAGGGCTGCCACGAGGGTCCTGACCCACAATGACACCTCCAGTATATTGACTGTGACCAGCGTCAGTCCTGAGTCCCCTGCCCACCCTGTCCAGTAGCTGCTCACACCTCTCTTCCCCCTGTAATGTCAGAAGTAGCTCTGTCCTTTAACTGGGGACAAGCAGCCCCTGCATTGGGTAAGAGCTCCCCAAGGGCATCCATGGGCTCCAGCACACAGAACCCCAAGCCTCAGCACCGTAGCTCAGTAGCAGGTAGCCAGCTGCTCTCCCCGTGAAACAGTGAAGGTTCAGGTTAATCCCAGTGAGTAGGAATGAAGGGCAGCGATGGTTCAGTGAGTCCCTGTGCTGTCCCACGAGGAGCATGTTCCTGTGATACCTGTGAAGGGAGCTGTCCACCTTTTGGTGTCTCTGGGACACACTGGAAGGAGAGTACTTGTCTAGGGCCACCCATAAATACACAAACACTAATGAGAACTGATCAACAAAAAAAGGTCCATGCATAATTTTCATGTTATCTGCCACTGCAGATAAGCAAACCTGTCCTCACATGGTAACCCTATTGTGCCGCTGCTCTTTTGATAATCTTCTAAAATCATCTATCAGTAGTAACTGAAGTCACGCATGCATCCAAGTTTCAAGAGGGAACACACATTGATTTTACATGATATTGTAACATGTAATCACCAAGAAATCTCCTAATGTTTTAAGTGAATTTATGATTTTTGCATTGGGCCCCATTCGTAGACTTCCTGAGGTGCAGTCAGCCCGAGGACCACAGTTTGGATTCTCCTGGTTTATAGGCTTGATGAGGTCTCTGTGTAGGTCCTTGTCACCTCCTCACAGCAGGCTGGGATTCTGAGTGTAAAATTCACTTTCTTACACATCCAGCTGAAAACAACCTGAACAAGATCATTCTCAGCCATTTGGAGCCCGACTGTGTTGCACACCCTGTCCCCTGCGCTCCCCACCCACTCACCACTGACAAGGCCAGCCCTGGGACCACCACTGTTGTCACAGGGATGCAGCCCTGCAGCTCTCTGATCCAGGGATGCCCAATGAACCACTGAGTGACAACTGTAGAGCACTCATTCCTCTCTCTGTCCCCCTCCCCAGAAAGTCCCTGGGCTCTCCACACCTGGGTGACAATGTCTGGAAGAGATCTTGAACTGAGAGTTTGTCCTCACACAACCTGTACAAGTACGGTTCAAACAAGCTCCCACTGGGCCTCCACCGGGGTGCGCTGACACCTTCTCACTGTCCCCTGACAGCCTCTGTCTCAGTCCCCATGCAGGGCAGCCCACACTAAAGGCAGAGGTCACATAAGGGTATGAGCACCAGGAGGTAGAGCACAGGCTGTCTGGTTGCTTGTCTGCCTTCTGACATCCAGAGGTTCATACCTCTCACTCACCACATGCACTTTCTAGGGCTTCTGTTCAGCTTTGCACACATAAGAAACGGCGGAGCTGTGGCTGATGCTCGGGGCTGATACCTCACTCCCCCCCTGCATGTGTCACTCTATTGATGGTCACTGTGCCACAGAAAACAGTAGTACTCAGCCTCGTCCTCAGGCTGGGCCCCCGACAGGGTCAGGGCAGCTTTGCCCCCCAAGGAGGGAGCCTGAGAACCGGGCAAGGGTCCAGGAGTGTTTATTGCTGGTACGATGAATCAGTGTGGTGAGGACTTGGCCAGACTTCTGCTGGATCCAGTATGCATAGAGACTGCTGGTTACAGCTCCAGTGCTGGAGGCACAGGTGAGAGTGACTGTCCCTCCTGGGGACACAGTCAGGGAGGGGTCCTGAGTCACTAGAGCCTGAGACCTGGACCCTGAAAGAAAAACAGTCACATGTCAGGAATGAAGAGTAAAGGCAGAAGGACCCTCCCAAAGGCTGGTCTCTGAAGTGTCCCTGGACCTGGGCAGAGGGTGAGGAGGGGGAGCAGGAGGACCAGAGTCCAGGCCATGGTGGACACTTTCCAAATCCCCTGGCCTGAGGCTGGGGCTGCTCTCCCGGTGTTCCTTTATCTCCTCTTCAGCGCCCTGGGTGAGGGGTGTGTTTACTGGGGCATTATGCAAATGGGAGCCCAGAGCACCATCCAGTTCTGGGTCCGGGGGCCCAGTTTATAGTTCTACTCTCAGGAGGAGGCTGGGCTTGTTGTGAGCTCTGAGTCTCCCCCTTGAGAGGAAGCACCTGCTGTCTCCTCTAACTGAGGCCATGGATGTGGGCAAGCGGCCCATTGAATTAGAACCATTTGGGTTGGTTTCAGGCCTTGCAGCTCTGAGAAGACCCACAGCGCCCCCTGGTGACGTCCTTCACAGATGAGTCATGGTGTGGGAGCTGTTCACTAGGAATTGTA